GCGAGATTGGCCTATAGTTCTCTTTTTCAGTTGGGTCTTTCTCTGCTTTGGGGATCAAGGTGATGCTTGCTTCCAGGAATGAATGTGGGAGTATTACTTCCCTTTCAATTTCATTGAAGAGTTTAAACAGTAGTGACAGTAGTTCTTCTCTAAAGGTCTTATAGAATTCAGCAGTGAAGCCATCAGGACCTGGGATTTTCTTAGTTGGTAAGTTTTTAATTATTTTTTGATTTCATTGATTGATATTGGGTTCTTTAGAATTTTTAGGTCTTTTTCATTCAACTTTGGTAATTCATACTTATCTAGGAATCTGTCCATTTCTTCTGTGTTTCCCATCCTATTGGCATATTGGTACTTGAAGTAGGCATTGATAATCCTCTGGATTTCTGCTAGGTCCATTGTAATTTCATCCTTTTCATTCCTAATTGCATGGATTTGAGCCTTTTCTTTCCTTTTTCTGACAAGGTTGTCTAAGGATTTGTCAATTTTGTTTATTCTTTTGAAGAACCAACTCTTGGCTTCATGAATTTTTTGTATCATTCTCCTAGTCTCCACTGAATTGATTTGTGCTCTGATCTTTATAATTTCCTCCCTTGTATGAGCCCTGTGTTTGTTCTGCTTTTCTTTATCTAGAAGCTTGAGTTTAGCATTAGGTTGTTTAATTGGGCTCATTCTGTTTTCCTCATATGAGTATTCACTGCTATGAATTTCCCTCATAAGACTGCTTTCATGGTGTCCCATAGATTTTGATGTGTTGTATTGTCATTTTCATATAATTGTAGGAACTGTCTGATTTCTTCTTTAATCCCTCTGTGACCTATTGGTTATTCAGAAGTATTGTTCAATTTCCATGTGTTTATGAAATTTTTGTGGTTTCTTTTGCTATTGATGTCCAATTTCATCACACTATGGTCCGATAATATAAAGGGGATAACTTCAATTCCTTTGCACTTACTTAAACATGTTCTATGAATGAGTATGTGGGCTGTTTTGGAGAATGACCCGTGTGCAGCTGAAAAGAATGTACATTCTGATTTTGTGGGGTGCAACACTCTGTAAACATCAGTTAAGTTCATTTGTTCAAGAGTTTGATTGAGTTCTCATATTTCATTGCTTATTTTTTGTCTATTTGATCTATCTGTTTGTGACAGTGGGGTATTGAGTTTCCCCACTACTATTGTATTAGTGCCTAATTGATTTTTCATGTCCGTTAGTATTTGTTTTATATAGTTGGGTGCACTAGTGTTTGGTGGATAGATATTTATGATTGTCATCTCTTCCTTTTGGATTGTTCCCTTTACAAGGATGTAGTGTCCTTCTTTGTCTCTCTTAATCAGTGTTGGTTTGAGATCCACTTGATCTGCAAAAAGGATAGCTACTCCTGCTTTTTTTCAGCTTCCTTTCATATGGAATATTGTTTTCACCCTTTACCTTTCATTCTATGAGTTTCCTTTTGAAGTATGTGTGCTTCTTCTATGCAGCATATTGTTGGATCTTGCTTCTTGACCCATTCTGCCAGTCTGTTTCTTTAGATTGGTGAATTGAAACCATTAACATGGATGGTTATAACTGATACATATTGATTTATCATTTTCATGACTTTTTCTTTTTGTTGGATTCTCCCCCTTTGCATTTAGTTTCTTGTCATGCCTGATGAATTCATTCGGCTGGGCTTCCTGGGGTTGTGACCCTCCTTTTCTTTTCCTAGCATATTGTCTAAAATTTTTTGGAGTGCTGGTTTGGTATTCACAAATTTCCTAAGGTGCTCTTTGTTATGAAAGTATCTTATTTCACCGTCAATTTTCAAAGAGAATTTTGCAGGGTACATCAATCTGGGTTGGAGGCTGTTTTCCTTTAGGGCTTATAATATGTTACTCCAAGCTCTTCTTGCCTTGAGGGTTCGTGTTGAGTAGTCTGCTGTGATTCTGATGGGCTTTCCTTTGTATGTGATTTGTTTCTTTTCTCTAACTGCTTGTAGAAGTTTGTTCTTCTATTGGCTTTCTGGAATCTTAACTATTATATGCCTATATGTAGTTTTTTTTATCAGTGCTAGCTGGAGTCCTATATGCCTCACTTATCTGTATGTCAAGTTCTTTTCCCCTCCTTGGGAAGTTTTCTTCCATCACTTCTGTGAACAGTTTTTTTTATGTCATCTGCACTCTCTCCTGTTTCTTCATTGACTCTAATCAATCTTTTGTTATTCTTCTTTGCATTATCTAGAAACTGCTGTATTGATTTCTCATGGTGCCATACTATTTTAAAGAAATTTTTCTTTTCCTGGTCACTAATTGCAATCTTATCTTCTATATCTGAAATTCTGTCCTCACATTGGTTCATTCTGCTGTGTAAACTTTCAATGGAGTTTTTAATCTCCTGGAAATCTGTTTGCATCTGTTTTATGGGTCCATTGATTTCATATGTTGGGATTCCATCATGTTCCTGAGATCCTCTCTAGATTTATTAATCATGTCTTGCACTATGGGCACAATCTCTGCTGTTATCTGAGAAATTATTTCTGATTTCATTTTTTCCAGATCCTCTTTTGTTGCCAGTTCAGGGAGTCCAGGTGGTTGAGTATCAGATTGTTCCATCTCATTTCCCTTTGGGGTTGCTTTAGGTGATCTGGAAATCTGGTTTTGAGACTTGTTTACGTGTCTTCTCATTTCAGTGGGGTGGGGGGTGGAGAGAGATGTGTGCTGCTGGCACCTGAGTGGCTCACCTCCTCTACTCTGGGGGCAGTAGTACAGTGGCCTGGAAAGTACACCTCCTCTGCCTAAAAGTTGTCATTCTTAAGGGGCTTTATAGAGAGAGTCCAGGTAACAAACCAATGAAATGTGCTGTAAAGCCAAGAATGAGAGAAAAAGCCTCCTCCTCTCCTCCTTCCCCCTCTTTCTTTTCCCTCTTTCTCTCCCTCTCCCTCCCCATCTCTCTCCTCATTTCCCCATCCTTCCCCTCCTTTCCCTACCCCTGCCCTTTTGCTCCTCCTCCCCCTTCTTCTTCCTTGTCTTCTTCCAATGATAGTGAGGATTGAATCTAGGGCCTCAAGCATGCTCTGCAAGTACTCTACCATTGAGGAATATGCTCAACCCTTTTTATTTTATTTTTGAGACAGGATCTTGCTAACTTGCCCAGGCTGGCCAAGAACTTGTTATCTTCCTGTCTCAGCCTCCCACATAGTTGGGATTACAGGTGTGTACCATTGGACTTGTTACTGGGAAGCTTCTGTTAACAAGATGGTAGTGTTAAAACATCTATTTTTCAGTATAGTAGTTCCTCCTTATTTGTGAAGGATGTGTCCCAATACCTCCAGTAGATGCCTGAAACTGCAGATAGTACCAAAAATATATTACACACACACACACACACACACACACACACACACACACACATATATATATAAAATTTTTTTCCTATACATTCCATTGCGTTGCCACATAGTACCAGGGTTAATCTGTCCTTCCATGTTTTATGCTCCTTTGTATGATGTCTTCTTTGTATCACTGCTGTTGCATTCTGGAACTATTAATTAATAGAATAAGGATTACTTGAACAAAAACACTGTGGTAGGGATAAACCAGATGGCTAACAGGCAGGCAGTATGCATAATGTACATACACTGAAGGAAAGGAGGAGTCATATCCTGAGCAGGACAGAATGGGATGGCACAGGATTTTATCACACTATTCAGAACAGCACACAAGTTAAAACTATGGAATTGTTTGTTTCTGGAATTTTCCATTTAGTATTTTCAGGTTACAGTTGACTGCAGGTAACTGAAAGTGCAAAAAGTAAGACTAAAGATAAGGGGAGCTAGTATATGTAATGGATGTCTGGAAAAATTTATGAGCAACCATATAAATAATTTAGCATAAACTGTTTTCTTAGAGCAAAACAATACTCAGTGCAGATAAAGGCTCTGTGTTCACCTCTCTGATTACATGTCTTTTTGTCCGCCAGAAGTAAACATGGTCTTGACATTTTCATAAATTCACCTAAATTTATACTACAATTGTGTGTCTTTGTAAATTAAATATAATATTTTTACAAGTGATATTCTTCATGTATATGTAATCATTATGCATCATTTTCTTCTGTAACTTAATTATTTTCATTCAGTATTTTTGTGAGATATATTTAGGTTGCAACATAACAGTTCCACCAGCAGTGCTTTTCATGCTGTGGTCCTAGTTGTTGGGTGAGGAAGGAAGAAGGAGAGAACTGCTTCAGGGCCTTACCTGTGCACTTAACTGTCCCAAAGTGGTGACCCAGTTCAGCTATGAGAAATCATTGCATATGGCTGGTAGAGGAAGCTAATTATAAAAGAGAAAACTGAATTTGCATAGAGAACCTGAAATGGACTCAATATAAATATCAGCTCATGATTTACAAAAACAAGATGCAAATATTTGATAAATGCATGCTTACTGATTTAAAAATGTTTTTGAGTTAAGTGCATCAATATTTCAAAAATTAGATAGTTTTACAAGTGCTATGGGTAAAATGACCTGATTAATTTTTCTCTCTTTTGTTTACTTTTTCAGTGTTTTCTACATCTGTCCCAGCAAACATGAGTCCTGCTCTGTAGCTTTCTGAAGGATTGAAGCTGAGCATCATTAGTGGAACTCAGCTGCTGCCTGACTGAACATCACAGCAAAGACCTTGGAAATCTTTTTCAGTTAAAACAATAATGACTTTTTGGTAATGTAATCTCCGTAAAGCATGTTTTCTGTGCAGCCTGAAAGAATACCAAGCTACCATTAGCAGTTCTGCAGAGGCCTTCTAAAAACCACTTTACCTGAACAACTGAGTGACTCCGGGTTGGTCAGGGTTAACCTTAGCAATTGTATCTATCAATTCACTTTCTGGAAGATTCAATCACTGCTACTCAGAGCTGCTGCTGAAATATCATGTCCAAGACCTCAGAGTTCATCAACCTCTCATTTTTATTAGATCATGAAAAGGAAATGATCCTGGGAGTCTTAAAGAGAGACGAATATCTGAAAAAAGCAGAGGAAAAGAGAATAAGGTAATATCTTTTTATTGTTTCAGCCTTCCTTGACTGCTTTCTATTTGTTCAAAGAAATTTAGATCAAAAATGGGGTACGGCCGGGGATTTAGCTCAGTGGTTTTGCCGCCTGCTGTGCAAGCACAAGGACCTGAGTTTGATCCCCAGTACCAAACAAAACAAAACAAAACAAAACAAAAAAACAAATGGGGTAAATGTAACTGTACTGGAGACAAATGTTGGTCAGGTACTATTCTCCAGAAGTAGCCCCAATACTAGAAAACTTCTTTGGCACTCCCCCTTTAGCCAGGCAGTAGTATGGAACTGAGCGAATAATGTAATGTTGATGAGAGCACTCATCTGCTAATAACATCATAGTAGCTAAGAAGAGGAACTATTCAAATCTGAGTACCAACTCTGATGAGTATTAGTTGCATAACTTTGAGCAAGTTACTTGCTATAGTTTGGATGTGGATTCTCCAAGAGCCCCATGTGTGAAAGGCTTTGTTCTCAGCCTGCAGTATGGTTAAGAGGAGGTGAAATCTTTAAAAGATTGGCCCAGTGGGAGGTCTTAGAGCCCTTGCAGGTGTGCCCTTATGGGATTGTGAAGACTGGTCTCTGTCTCTTGTTTGCTTTCTGGCCACCACGAAGTGAGCAGCCTGCTCTGCCATATGCTTGGACCATGATGTATTGTGCCACTGCAAGCCAAAAGCAACAGGGACAAGCAGCCATGGAATGAAAACTCTGAGACCTTGAGCCAAAATAAAATTTCCCTCCTTTTAAATAGATTATATCAGGTATTTTGTTGCAGTGACAGAAAGCTAACACATTGCTCATTACTGCCCATGCCTTGATTTCCTCATAGGTAAATCAGGAATAATAATAGTACCTACCTTATAAGATTGGTGTAAGAATTACAGAAGATAATATATATGCAATGCCTGGCACCTGAGTGTCAATAAATGTTAGCTATTATTGATTTGTAATGCCTTTGTCAGGTCGGTCTTACTGGGGATTTGCTAGGAGAAGAAAAAAGGAATCTGGAATACATGGTATTCCCAAATCACTTCAATTTCTTGAAATAAGAGTCTGTATGAGGAAAGTTGAGTAATTGGGGACACAGTTGAGTCTCATATTCATTTTAGGTAGGGCTGATATTTAGCAAGTTCCCTGGGTATGACCTCACCTATATTTCAGCCAGCATCCATTCTGATTGGTTGCCTAATCTGCTCTAAATTGTTACATCATCATCCTGATTGGCTGCAACACCCACTGATTATTTGCTCTCTGCACTGCTCTAGTTAGTAAATATATTTGGTTATTACATCTTACCCCTGAAGAAAGGTACCTGTATAAATACATATAAAGAGAATTCTCTCCTTGGTCACAGACAACTGTGCAGTGTGTAGCTTTTATATCTTGTCTGCTCTCCAAACTATAATATGAATATTAGATTTATTGGTTTATTTTATTTTTTGGTGCTGGAGGTGATTCTGGGCCTTGTGCATGACAAGCAAATACCATACCACTGAGCCACACCCCAGCCCATGACAGGTATGATTATTTTACTTGAGCAGAAAATTTATCATAATATTATCTTTACATGTCACAAAAAATATTCAATGTTCCTGAAGCAACTAGGGTCCTGAAAATGGGAACTATATTGAAATATTCTTGATTGATATTTATTTCTTAGTTAAGAGGCCATAAGCTTCCTTTCTACTATTCCAGAATATTTAATTTAGAAGAATGAAAGGCTTTGATCAAAATGATTGCATTTTTCTATAACTAGAATTTATGTGGCAACAAAATGCAGTTGATCATTTTAAAGAAATCAGAAATTATATTTTCAACATTGGTGATCCGGTCATGGAAGTGACTAAATTTTCTAAAGTGCTGCCAAAAGTTACATTGTTTATGGGGGATGACATGTTAACTACTTATTGAGAGCAGCCTCAAGGAACTTAAAATCACTCCATTTAGGAAGGAGTAATTTTATAAACAGATCCCAGGAAAAATGGAAGTATAATTAAAGAATAGAACTTTGTTCATTATATTCACATCTGTTATTACTAATAACTTTTTAGAGATAATCTATTATATTCCCCTTCCCTTTTTACCATTCTATTTTTCCCTTATCTCCTTGTGCACTAACTAAATGAATTCAGCCAAATCATGTAAAAGACAGCAGAATTGTCAAGGGTAAAATCATTCCTAGCATTTAAAACTTTCTTGGTAATAGCAGAACAATCGTGACTAGTGTTAATTGTCTTGCATGACTGTGCTAAATGTGTTATCTCATTTTGTCATGAGCTCACAAGATAGGAGCTCAGGCTGGATGACTTAGGTTTGGCCAATCTTAACAACTTTGTGGATTCAGGAGTCGTGCCAAAGTGGGCAGCATCATGTTTAGGGTACATGCTGTTGAATCACACACACAGAATTAAAACCTTAGTTGCACCATGAAACCTTTGGGTCCCTCTCACCTTGGTTTGTTTGTTTTTACAGCATTGGAGATTGAACACAAGGCCTTCTTACTGAGTGACATTCCCAAAGCTTTGTATTTTTCAGTTTCATGCAGGATCTCACTAACTTGCTAAATTGCCCAGGCTAGGCTCAAACTTGTGAGTCTCTTGCCTCTGCCTCTGAAGAGTGCTGGGATTCCAGGCATATGACACCATGACCAGCTCCTTAAGTCCCTTAAGACAAGATGTTTCTATAGATAAATTTGGTTTCCTCATTTGACAAAATAGAAATAACAATATTAGCTACCTCATAAGATTGTTGTTATAACTAAATGAGCTAATACAAAAAGCTTAGAAGAGTGTTGGCAAAAAAGTCAGCATTTAATTAATGGCAGGCTATCATCATTATTCTTATCAGTGCTGCACTCAGATCCCCCAGGGTCCCTTTGTTAGAGCTGTGCTCTCATCTCTCAATTTCTTTATACTTGACTTCTAAGGACCTATATCTTCTACCTTACTCAAGGGTTGCCGTTGGGTGACTCCAGTTTTCCCTACAATTAGAAATCCACAAGTGCCAAGTAAACTTGAGTTTAAACTGAGAAGACCAAAGCCAATAGCTGACAGTTACAAAAACCCTTTGCCTCAAGGCAGGACACACTCTGCAATGGAAATTGTGCTCCACAACTGAATTTGGATGTCACCTAACAATTACAACCTTGGTCAGCTCCTCCTCTGCCCTCTCCTGTCTCCCCTGCTCCCTTACAAATTTCCCCTGAGAGGACTCCATAGGTCACTTGCACACAAATGTACCTCTCAGAATTAGCTTCTGGAGAATCTAGACATTGGAAAGCTTATATTACTGAAGCTATTGCTATTTAACAAAGTTATTTTCAAGGAAAATATAAATATAATAAATCTGGAGTGTGAGCATTAAACGATTTTTGGTTCATTTGATTTATAAATTAATTTATCATAGCTAATTTTTATCATAGTCATTGGGAATTTATACACTGATAAAGAAGTGAGTCACCGCAGCCCAGGCTTAAGACTCTTGGTAAGATAGTATAATTTTCTATTGGCTTTTCACCCTTTATCTACCTCTGATTTCCCCTCCTTTTATTCTGAGTTTAAATACAACCTAAATCACTTTACACAGCTTAACTCTAACCCAATAGAACTGCTTGATAAATTCTGCAAGTATTTTTGACCACCTGCTTTATACTGGACACTATGCTGGATTTTGGAAGAAGGGTAGGATAATATAAAAGAAAACAGGAGCCAGGGATGATGCCCACAATTGTAGTCCCAGCTACTCAGGAGACTGTAGTAGGAGGACCATAAGTTCAAGGCAAGCCCAGATAGTTTAGCTAGACCCTGTCTTAAAATTAAAAGGGCTGGAGATGTAGCTTAGTGGTAGAATACCCCTGAGTTCAGTACCTACTACTGCAAGAAGCAAAACAAAAAAACAGGACCCATCAGGGTCCTAGTATAGAATTCAGAGTCTGTGGACTTGAATGGGGGGGATTTTTATTTTATCATTTTTAACTGAAATTTTGCACCTCCTTCAATTGTGAATGTAGGGAGTACATTGTAGTGGTATTAACTGTACCTGTGACTTTGTCACCAAGAGAAATCACATTGTCTTGTTAAATTAGTGATGCAATAAATATCTCAAAATATTACTTATGATGCTCACTACTTCAAAATTATGGTAACTATATATCATGAGATTTTGTTGTTTAATATATAAATAAAGCAAGTATTATAACACAAATTGTTTTTAATGTTTTAGTAACTATATTTAAATATAATTTATTTCCCCTGTAAAACTGTATAGTACCTAATATGCACACAAAGACATGATTCTGAGAAGGGATTCCTTAAGCTTCACCAGTCTAACAGGGACTAAATGACACCAGAAGCAAAGAAGCTCACAGTCTAGTGTGGCAGACAGATATGTAACTAGACAGAGGGAAATTGAGCAAGAAATGGAGGCATCACCCAGGTGTTAGCAGAGGACACTGTCTTTGGAGATTGTATTAATCATTGCTCCCCAGAGTAACAGAACAAATAGAATGAAGATAGGTAGATAGATAGATAGATAATAGACAGATAATAATATTTATTATATAAGGAATTGGGTGAGAAGGCCAGACCCAGGAAAGCCCATGGCATAGTTTCAGTCCACTCCCAAATGACTGAGAACCAGGAAAATCAATAGTATAAGTTCCAGTCCAAATCCAAAGGTCACAGGGTAAGAGAAAACCGATACCACAGCTTGACTACAGTCGAATGAGTCAGAAAGAGAGAGCATTCTTTGTTACTGTGCCTCTTATCCCATTCAGATCTTCAAAGGATCAGAGGTGGACCACCCGTATTGAGAAGGGCAATCCAGAAACACCAACACAGAAACAACCAGAAATAGTGTTTAAGCAAGTATCTTGAAACCAAGTGACCCAGTTAAATTGAAACATATAATTAAGTAGCTCAAGAATTTCTGTAAAATTTCCTGTAGTCTTCTTTAACACACTTTTGTGAATATGTAACTAATCTTGG